TAAGTAGACATTATAAAGTATCACAAACTTACTTTTACAAGTTAGGTTGCCACGTTATACAAACCACACCCTTACATTAATTTTTTTAATTGTTTGTTAAATTCTTTAAATAAGAAATTGTTTTTTATAGAAGGTTACAACCTTAAACTATATAAGTAAATAGGCACCTCAAAAATCCATCGGAAAAGGTAGTTTTAATGTTGAAAAACCCTTTAATTCATTATCTCGACATCGAGATGTATGACTACGAAAAAAAAAAAGATTTTGAGTCCTATAAATAGTGCATCTTACAACACATTATTTAGACCGTTCATTTTTAAAATTTTCATATATTTATAGATCTACTTGATTTTAACCATTTTTTAATTTTAAAATTTTATAATTAGATATAAAAATAGATTTTCAGATAATCTTCTGAAATTTTTACACTAAAATTACATGTCATAATAAAATTTGGAGGTGCGCCTTTATTGGATTGCTTAAGGCTACTTAGGAACCAACTCTATATGTGCTTGAAAATTGAACATACGCCGTTCAATTTTTGGATAGGGTCCCAAAATTTAAGGATTAAAAAAATGGTCCTACCGATTTTGCCAAGGGAGTAAGTTCACGATGTCCTCTAGCAGAAGTATACATAGGCCCTCAAATAATCCTTTTATTGTGATGAATGGTCTAACAAAAGTATGCTTCCCTGTCATCCAACTCAAATCCCGCTTTTTGAGTTGGCGCTTCAGCCGACTCACACTCAAGTGCATTCTTTTTCTAAAAATCCATCTTATATATGAATTTTGGATAAAAAATTAATTGGTTGATAATCTCGATTATATTGATTATGGAAAAGTTTATATGAGGTTACAACTTAATTGTAAAAGTAAAATTGTAGTAATCTACACCGTTCATTTTAATTCAAAAGTATAGATTTGACAGCATCTTAAAAGATGTATCACTTTTTGACACTATCTAAAAAAACATGTCAAATTTATAGCGTTTAACTAAAGTGGACAATGTAAAGCATCACAAACTTGCTTTTACAGGTAAGGTTGCCACTTTGTACAAACCACACCCTTATATTAATTTGTTTAATTATTCTTTTAGTTCTTTTAAATAAGTTTTTAGATTCATGTTTATGATGGTTGAGATTATTGACTTGGAAATTTTTAAATTCTAAACCCATATCTGAGATAGATTTTTGGAAGGGGATATATTTAATTGAAAACAACCAAATAATTTTCCAATAAAATGGGGCCAGTTTGAGATGCCCGTTCTTTATTTGGGTAGATCAGTGGAAACATAGGCTCCTATAAATTTTTTAGAAATAGTTTGTGGTTTTTAAATACGTAAGTAGGAGTTGAAACCTAGATCGATACCTAGCAATTTTTTAGAAATAGTTTGTGGTTTTCAAATACCTAAGTGGGAGTTGAAACCAGATCGATACCTAGCAATTTTTTAGAAATAGTTTGCGGTTTTCAAATACCTAAGTGGGAGTTAAAACCAAGACCGATAGCTAAGATTCGGATGGTGCTACCAGCCTGACGTCAACCCCAGTCCCAAGAGACACCCGCTCTTCCTTCTCCATATTCTTGAAAGAAGGACTCATGTGATCTAACCGGAGTATATATATATTTTTTTTCTTTTATTTTTTCTTCTCAGCTTAGATCACTTACAAGTAATCTTTTTACAGTAAAACAAATTTAAATACACTAAAGAAAAGAATACAACTAGGATTTCAAGAACTTGAAGCTATTCAATACCTTTCTTTCAATAACAAAGAAAAGATACAATTTATGTTTGGGAATAAAAGACACAAAAAACAAATACGCAAGAAACAAAAGAGGGTGCTGGATATTACCTCAATCGAGCTTCTTACACCCCATACCCAGTGATGGTGCGGGATCAATGATCAATTTTCAGTCTCAATTGGAAACTTTTTCAATAACATAAACTCAACCATAGGTGAACCCCCTTTTATAACCTAGGTACAATATAAAAATATTAAAATAAATATTGTGATTTTAGAAATTCATAAAATCATATTTGAAGAATTAAATTAATGTAAAATCAAAATTTTTATTTTTTTAAATCCAAATTTGATAAATAAAATATCTAAAGATTTAGAAAAATTCAAATAACAATTCCAAAAAATATATATCATTAAAACAAACATAATTAAATACTCTTATGGGAAAAAGATCTATATGGTCTAGGAACAAATATACACTAGGGCACTCCACCTTCTATTGAGACTTTATCCACACTTGCATTCTCAATCCGACCCAACATTGCCCATGACCCACTATCAATGCAAGAGATCATTAGCGAGTCACCAAAGTCTAGCCAATGGGCATGGGTCATAGTCACAGTTTATAGATTTCAGGTTCTCCTCTAGAGACAAAACCAATGTCACTTAGACCTGAGGCAATCCATTGTGTGATGGTGCATAGGGGTTCTCTCTCGCACATGTGCACATTTTACTCTGAAAGGTGGTTTGCTTTTCTGAAAACGGCTATTAATGTGCATGTCGTGTGAGGATACGCAGATGAGGCTTTGGCCCCATCTCGGAAGGCCTCCATCACATACAAGGGCCACACAGTCCTTTGACTTACGCTTCCGGGTATACTCCGACCTCATCAAGCGATGACCCATTATAACCCTTATCGATTTATTCTCTATGCCCATATAACATGAGTTTTTTTTCAACTAGATTGGGCTCGCTCGTAAAACTCAATCAGGTATCAGCAAACACCGTTTGCTTAGTATGTTCCACACATGACCGCACTCCCATTGAGTTCATGTTTCATTATATCAATAAATTCATGTACAAGTACTCATAAGGCCTTTAATGGCCACACACACCCAACAATTCTTGTATATCGCAAGGGCCCGTTAGCGATATAACGACTATGGGTCCTTTGTCTTTTAATACATTGGATTCGTGTGGATAACCTTAGGTTTATACTAACCAAATATAAGTTTCGTGTGGATAACCTTCGGTTTATACTAAAGCGTGCCAAATATGAGTAAAGCGTGCCAAAAGATTTGGCTAACCGTGAATCCAACATGCTATTCTGAGTTAAGTAGCGTTATTGTCTAACATGCATGGTAAACTATAAATAGAACAACGTTTTCTCAAAGCCCAATTAGAATGGCCATATTTCACCTTAAGGCTGTTCCTTCATATATAAATACATAAACAAACAAACTAAGTAAATACCTTCGAACAAAGAAATTAAATGAACATAATGTAGAGTTCCATTCGGGCCCGACTTAGGGTCGCATGTGGTTCCCGATTGTCCTTGTCGGATGCATATAGTCAAAATAAATAAATACATTGAACCAACCTCAAATGAACACAAACTTAAATAAACATAACTAGGAATAAAGTTGGATGCAACTAAAAAGAAGACAAATGTTATTGGTGTGAGAAGTTTGGATGAGTACAAAAGCTTCGGATACCCAAAAACCCTAGGTGCACGCCAAAGGCTTTAAATAGTAAAGTCCTCAGGGTATTTAAGGTTAGGATGTAATGTAGTTGGAAACGTTGAATGTTCATGGATAAGGTTGGAAAACCCGCACAGGTGTACACCCAAAAACGCTCCATGCCAATATATAGAAGATGCTATACAACATATACACTACCAACCCCCTTACATGCTGAACTTTTAGCCATAGTGTGCAAAATTCAATGCAAAGACCAGGCCCTCCTTTGGCTAAAGAGCAGTGCATGAGCATATAACAATCAAGAAGCATTGCCTTCTTCTCAAAGAAGAGTTTGGAGGTGGGTTCAAGCCCATAGCTCAACTAGAAGGCACTTGTTGTTGCAACCTTGAGGTTGTGGGTCTAACCTAGCCTAGAGATACTTTCCGAGAAAGGCTCGAACACTAGAATGGAGGTGCGTGAAGAAAGCTCAAGGCTGATCAAGCCTCTTTACGAAAGCGAGCCTCCGTCGCTTACTGAATCGGTCCCCCTCAGTGCCTTTGACATGGTCACGTACAATGCTAGCGAGGCTGTCATCTTTGCTTTCGAGTCGATGGAGGCAGTGGGAAACCATGTAGTTGTGGAAGCCCTGGAAAAAGTGCTGGCAGAGTTTAGGGTTTGGGCTGGGAGGTTTGGCCGTGACTCAGAGGGCCGCCGAGCCATACTCTTGAATGATGCTGGTGTTCATCTTGTAGAGGTTACAGTGGGGTTCACACTCCATCAGGCGTTCCCTACAGCGCCAACCCCTGCCCTGCTACACCTGCACCCATCCGCGGACGGCACAGAGGAGTTGCTCCAAGTCCAACTCACTCGTTTCTCTTGCGGTGGCCTAGCTGTTGGGCTCACTTGCCATCACTTTGTAGCTGATGGCACTTCTGCTATGGCCTTCTTCACTTCCTGGAGCAGAGTTGCCAGGGGATTGCCCCTGCTCCAACATCCACTACATGATCGCACCATCTTTATGCCCAGAGAATCGCCGAGGTGCCCTTTCGAGCATCTTGGAGTCGAATACATGAGACTTCGTAGTACTAGTCATAAGACTAACAGTGTCGATATCCGGCCCTTGCCACCCCCAAGGGATAGCATTGTCCAGGGCCTAGTAGTTCATAGGACACACTTCTCTTGCGAATTCTTGGCAATGCTCAAGGCCAAGGCCTCAATTTGCAACCCTGACAAGCCTTACAGCACATTTACGTGCTTGATTGCTCATGTGTGGAGGGTGGTTACAAAGGCCCGGGGGATTGAGGGGCCTGTGACCACGAGTGTCCGGATATCAGTGGATGGGAGGGCTAGGCTCAAACCCGCCGTGCCCAGGGAATACTTTGGCAACGTGATTCTATGGGCCTTCCCTCAAGCCCAAGCTGGCGAGCTTTTGAAAGAGCCGTTGCACTTTGCAGCCAAGCTCGTGTATGATGCTGTTAAGAGCTTGGACAACGAATATTTCCGCTCGTTCATCGACTTTACAAAGATGAACGAGGGGGGCGAGGGCCTGGTGCCGAGTGCCGAGATGGAGCAACTGGTGCTGTGCCCCAACTTAGAAGTGGATTGTTGGTTAAATCTCCCATTTTATGAATTCGATTTTGGAAGGGGGCCTCCCAGCATTTTCATGCCATCATGGCTTCCTTATGAAGGATTTATTCTTGTGCTTCCTTCTAGAGGGAGGGATGGGGGAGTAGATGTTTTGGTGCCTCTGTTGGAGAACAACATGACTATCTTCAAGGAGATATGCTTTTCCATGGACTAGACTCCTACTTAGTATAACATGGGGTAAACTGCTCTATGGTATTCATGGATGGCTCTGCTCTTCTTAGGATATGAATGCTAAGAAATAAAGTGCTCTGTTTAGATTGCTTTGTTCTTCTTTTCCTTTAGCTAGAGGGCTCGTTTTAAATATAGACACGTGTGTCTTGCAGTCTGATCATGTGTCGACACTTAACTGACACTGATACATATGTTGACACTCTTAAACACGCATACAACACCTCTAATAAGTGTCCACTATAAGATCCACTTCTTTGGACACTTTTTTTTTGTTGAAAGTGATATTCTTTTTTTAGAAACTTCATTGTTAATTGAAGAGTAATTTATTTTTCCAAATAATAAGTATTTAGAATAAAATAAGTAGTTTAGAACAAAAATAAATATTATTTTTATTTGTTAAATTAAACTTTCCATAAATCATTATTACTATAAATAAAAAAGACGATCTATTTCAACTAACATAAAACTTTCTAGGGTATCTCCCTCCACATCTAGTTTCTCCCTTTGCAAACCGTGGAGAATTGGTTTTTCCCTCTCCCAACCCTATGGACTATCTTCCTCATAAGGAGGCAATATAATTTATATAGGTACTAGGATGTGGGCATCAGTGAGGACAATATAATTTATGTGTAAATGCAGATGTGAACTACACATATTTTAGTTTGGGATTGTTTATAAAGAGACCATTTATCTTTAGGAAAAGTTTATACAAAGTTGAGGCTCTAAACAATCAAATTTGAGCCTATCTCAAAAATTTCACTAGAAGAAGTTGTTTTGATGCCCAAATATCCTCAAATTGTTCATCTCAACATCAAGATGCATGGACATGATAAAACATGGATTTCAGGTTTTGGAAATCCTGTATTTTGTAACACATTTTTAAACCGTCAATTTTCAAAATTTTCAAAGTTTTCATAGATCTATCGATCTACAATATTTTTGAAGCTTTAAACTTTATAAATAAAGATGAAAATATATTTTAAGGCTCTCACAAATATTTTCAGTATTGAAACTATATTTTTCAATATTATTTGAACGTATGCTCTAATTTGATTGTTTAGGGCCTAAGCTCTATACAAACTGCACCATTTATCTTTTAGTCAATAAAAGTCATAATTATTCCTACCCCTTAAATTTCAAAAAGGGTGGTTGTAAGAGTTTTAGATGCAAAGTTCCAAAAAAAATATATCTTGGATTTTTATGACTCACTCCAAGCCATCCAATTTGACATCAAACAAGTAGGAATGATTGTGACCTCCATGCACAAAAGGTTAACGGTTTCTTTGTAGACAATCCCTTTTAATATTTGTATATATAGACATATGCATTTATGTAGATATTTGTATGTTCTAAGGATGTGTTGTGTCTAGATGCTAATTTTTGGGGTTTATATTTCTGACCCTTGTATCTGTGTCATAAATAAACACACGTATCCGGGTCTATGTAACATAGTTTTCAATGCTTATCTTACCTCATTTTTATTCTTGGTCAATCCTTACTGAAATTTCTAGATTAAAAAATGGGACAAAAAAAAAATCAAAATTTCAAATTTAAGGATCAATAAGAAATCGGTTTTAGTATTTCAATATTGTAAAAAACAAAACAATTCTATATTTTCCAAAAGAGTAAAGGATAAGGTTTGTTTGCGTGGGAACACGTATACTATACAAGTACGATGCATGTTCAACTCTAATATTGAATTCAGATTTTCAAAAGCGACCCAAATCTTGTATCTGAAAATATTAAAAATTGATTGTCCAGATAACTTGTTATAAGATGCACTATTTTTAAGACTTGAAATTCTTTTTTTCCTTTACATCCATAAATCTTAAAGTCGAGATAATCATTTCCCAACTGCGGAACACTCATTTTTGCTAGATTTTTGAGGTGCACCTTACTTCTCTAATATAAGGTTGCAGCCTCACCTAAACCTTTTTCGACAATAAATGCACCACTAATCTATTATCAAACATTCAGCCTTTAGGATCTAATTATATCAAATTTATGTCTAAATGAAATGGTGTTGAAATTGATATACAAAACTAGAATTATATATAGGGAAAATATCTCCATATCCCCTATTTTTAGATTTTATTTCTTAATAAATCCAAGATTTCAAAAAATATCTTTCAACCCCCTGGCCACTTTAAACCTATTTTTCAACCTAAACAATTGTGAGCAAGACATGCTCTCTCTAAACCCAATCCCTTCTCTCTCTTCATTTATATACCCCAAACTTCTCTCTTTTTCTCACTTGCTGCGTGTTTCATTCTCTCTCTCCTCCGGTATTTACCCAAATACTTATCTTTCTCTTTTTGTGTTTATCCAAACACCTCTCTCACTCTCTCCTCCCGGTAACCTCTCACCACCAAGCATCTCTCTCCTTCGGTATTTATCCAAACACCTCTCTCTCTCCTGTGTTTATTAAAATATCTCTCTCTCCTCTCGTTAATCTCTCACCACGAAACACCTCTCTCTTTTCCTGTGTCAATACAAAGACCTCTCCTTTTCTCCTTATACTTCCTGTGTATTTGGGAGGAGAGAGAGTGAGAGAAAAGAGATGGGAAATGTGAAGAGAGAGAGCGAGAGGAGAGAGAGAGGGGTTACAGATGGATAGACGGAGAGAGAGAGAGAGAAGGGGTGTGGGGAGCAAGAACTTTGGGAGGATGGCTTTTAGAAAAGGAATGTCTTTTTGGATTTATTTGGCCTAAAAAAAACAGGTTTAAAGTAGCTTAGGGGGTTAGATGAAATAAAATCTACAATTTTGATGCCCCAAGATATCTTTTAATACCTTGAGCCTATTGTCAAATGAAACCTAAAAATTGTGGGTATCGAGATATTTATATATCTACGTAGAGAACACAATGAGTTTCGCTACTCATTTAGGGTTAAGGACCCTGAAGCATAAGACTAATATTGAGCATCCAACGTAGCTGAAGGCAACAAACAGTTGGTACCGCCGTTTAAATCCTGCATTTGTGATAGGAGATAAATAAATGCAAACGTTAAATATTATAGCACTTAAAGAGGTGATTTAAAAACTGGATCGGATCGTACTACAAACATGGTTACCATCCCGAGTAAAAAAGCCTCCTGATTCCCACTAATTATTAATAATCGTTTTATAGGTTTCTCTATAAAATTTTCCTGGTCGAACGGATCTGAATCGGCCAATTCCCCAATTCAGATCGGGTTTGCTAGTGACTAGTTTGGCTCACTGATCTGTTTTTTAAAAAATTTATTCAAAGCATGCGGAATACACAATGGTACTAGGAATTGAGCTTGAACTTGAGTATTTTGCAGTTGATATTAACATTGATGTGTCTCAAGATCGATTCCTACAACTGAGCAGCCCCGAAGAGAATAGAAGAAGAAAAGTCGACAATAGTGCTTATTTATGTCCTACATGGACACCCATCAATTTCTAACAAAAGACTTTTGAGGGAACTTTTTGTCTTCAAACAAGATATAAACAATTACTAAAATATACATAATATCATTCTTTAAAATTACTATTAGATTTGGAGCTTAATTTTTCTCAAAAGAAAAATTAGAGGGGTGGTTTATAAAATTTCCAACCTTACTTATAGAAGCAAGGTGTGATGCTATATACCATTCAGGAGGTATGTGATGATATATATCATTCCGGATGTATGAGAGTTTGTACGAGCATTTTATATGGTGGAACATAAACTCAGTGGGAGTGTGGTTCTTTTGTGGGCCATATTAGGTAAATGTTATTTCCTGATACTCAGACGAGGCTCGACGAGCTAGGCCAGCCGAGGTTTGAAAAACCCAAGATACCTAGGTATAGGGATCTACCGAGAAGGGTTTAGTGGGTTATCCCTTGATGAGGTCGGAGAATGCCCAGATCAGAGCCAAAGAACTCTGTGGCCCTAACGTGAAACGAATAGTTTTTAGAAACGGGGCTAAAACCTCATCGTTATATCATCACATGACAAGTATGTACAAAAGATTATCCATATGCACCATGGAGTCATGGTTTCATCATAGTCTGTAGAACCATGATTTTTGTCTCTAAGGGATAACCTGAAATCCATAAAGTAGGATTGAATTCCTTGTCTATTGACCGACTTTGGTGGTTCAATCATGAGCCCTTGCAGTGGACTGTGGGTCATAGGAACTGATAGGTCAGTTTGAGAAAGCTAGGCGGATCGTGATTCGCAGTTGAAAGTAGATTGCTCCCATGTATTGATAATTTCCTAGATCTAACTGATTCCCATCAAAATTAATTAATTTTATGTTATGTGATTTTTAAAATATTTATTTGAATTTTTGTGAATCTTTTGATATTTTATTTTTGTCATTTGAATTTATAACTTAAGAGAAATTAAATTTTCAATGTTTTAAATAAAATATAAGATTTAAAAAAAATTTAAATTATAAAATAAAATATTTTCTAAAATATTTGGGACCTCCATAAAATATGGGGCCCAAAATTTAAAAGGATGTGGATTAGGTGGAGCCCATACGTGGCCACCAAAAGGGTGGCAAGCCCCCACCCATTCACATAACATTGTTGCGAAGAATATTTATCCTCTTGGTTGGCTCATCCTTTTTAGTTGATTGATCAAATAATTAAAGATTGAATATATTAAAATATAAATTTTTCTTATTTGATGGGAATAGATTTAGGAAAGGTAGGATAAGATTATAGCTCATCTCTTTGAATCTCGATGGTGGATCAAAGAGATGGACAGCTCAAATCTCTCACCCTACAAGTTTCCTTAGATCGACAGTTGATATGTCCAAAATTCCCCTCTCTTCTAAAGGGGAGGCATGCCCCAATTTTATCTCTCTCTAATTTGCACTATGTTTTGGTGGCACGCACCACCTCTGTTATTTGTGGGTGGCAAAGAGGTAGAACCCCTTGCTAGTAGATCTCTCCTTCTCTTTTCATATTCATCTCTTATCTCTCTAAAATCAAGCTAAGAGGCTTGATCAAGATTAAGTCATTGAGTG